GAGAAAGAAGTACAAAACAAGGCAAAAGTCTAAACCCTCAATCTCTCCTTTTCAATCCTCACACTAAAAAACCCTCAATCTAAATTCTCTCTATTTTAATATATAGGAGATAATAATAGATCAGGAAAGAGATCCAAAACTTAGTAGGAGTTGGAGATCTAAAGAAACACAAACGACTGAGATTGAATTTGAAAATTTGCCAAAATGCGTCTAAACCATCGATAGTTAAAAGCGATCATCGATGGTTGATGTAGATTATCGATGGCTCCCTGTAATCCATCGATTGTCCAAATTCTGATTTTTTGTTTTTCTCCGATTGTTCACTGTAACCCATTGATGATCGAAGTAACCATCGGTGATCTACCCTTGATCATTGATAATCCATTGATAATCTATTAGCTGATTTGAATAGTCTAAGGGTTTTGAGGCATAATTTCAACATAAACGAGTCAATCTTATATTTTCAATAGTTTGAACTATACTCAAACATGAATATCCCAACAATCTCCTCATTCTCTAACTTGGTTTGAACCGACAACCATGGGAGACAGACACTATGACTACGCAACATTTAGGATATTTCACCATTTATGGGCTAGCCAGACCATATAACTCCTATGACTCCTACGTGCAATCTCAAGCACCATCCATCCGTGAACTAACCCGACTTTAGTCATTCTCCCAACACTTTAGGCTTTACATTGGGTTCACTTTTTTTGGGCAGTAACCGGGCCCAACTGAGAGTTAATGGGCTTTAAATAGAGGCTAGGAATCAATTTCTAACCTAAAAAGCTTAAACCATTATGTATTGATCCAAACTTTTATTTGAATTCATTACTCTTTTTTATTTTTTCCAAAGTAGACTATACTACATGAATATCCCAACAGTCTTGTTCTCCGCAAGGTCATCTTTTCAAAAGGTAAATTTTAAAGAACCTTTCTCTCATAAGTAGTTACTCGCATATCATCAAGAAATCAAGAACAAGAAGTCCTGCCATACTTTTACAAAAAATATAAATGCAAAGTGATGATATGTGGGGTGGATTTTTTCCTTTCCCCCAACGAACTTTCTTTCCTTCTATCTAGACTCTGTTTGACCTGTTTTGGTTAAGTGTGCTTCTTGATTGCGTGATCTGAAATAAACAACCACTATAGCGGGTTTCCTACTTGCTAAAGGTTATATGGCAACCAATCTGGAATTTCAGACTTCAGTTTCTCATATATGGTTAAAAACCTAATCGATACTTGTCCTCTGTAACCAACTAACTAAGATAGGCTTAGATTATGATAAGATACTTAAGCTCTATGTTGATGGGCATTTCTATCACGAAGCCATATTTTGTTGGAATTGTTTATACACATTTATGAATATATTATTTAGAATTTGTTGTCTGTTGGTGTCTATCCATGTCAGGGTATCTGTGTATCTGTGTCCTTTTAACAGGCTCAGGTCATTAAAAACTTAATTCAATATCTGCTTGGAATACATGTTTTATATCCAGCTAGAAAAAAAAAACAATAACATTGAGCAAGTTCCTGTAAGGTCCTGTATATTTTTGGAATCAAATAGGTTTTTATGATGTAAATAGAGATGCATTCTTAGCAACAAGAGTGTTGTTGGGCTTTTAAGTAAAATGGGATTGCACCTATGTCTTTCGATTTAGGATGTCCTGATACCATATTAAAATAACACTCACATGTAAAATAGCATATGCAACTGTTAAAGTGTATGTTACGCCTTATATGTGGGCCAGCTTTTGGAAAGACGTCATTGCCTAAAAAGTGTAAACATGAACTGGATGTTTGAAGGAAAAGATACAGACTCTCATTGATTACAGCAGTTTTTGGAAATTCGACCTTGGTTAATTGATACATGTTAATAATATCTAATATTGTTATGGTCTTGAACCATTACACGAAAACTCCAAAGGTTAATGTTTATTGTTTTATGTTCTAACATGCACTTGCAGGTTGAACTCCCTTTTTAGCCGAAACTTGCACTCACCATCTTAAAGTCTCTAATTATTGAGAACTCCAAAGTTGTGGTGAGAGTTAATGGTTATTGCTCTATATTCTAACAAATATCATTTGTCTTGTTCATGGTTTAGGTGTGCATTTTGAAAATTTTCTTATTGTTCGTCTCAAGGTTCTAAAACACGCTTTCATTTTGTGTACGATCTGATATCGAGTAGCGATTAATCAGATTATGTTGAATTATGTGTTTTTGAGATGTTTAATATAAATATTGTTAATAATATATGAAAATATAATAATTCATGAAAAATATAAAACACTTCAAGCGAAAGACTAAAAATAATACCCCAAGCTATTCAGATCGAAGTCATTATACACTAAAAGTAAAACTATTAAAAGTTCATATATATATATAATATATATATATATATTATAATATATATATATATATATATATATATATATATATATATATATATATATAACTAAAAACATTCACATAAGTTTATAACAATATAAAACTAATAATCCTCATTTAGTCTTTCTCATATCATCACAGACATTGGTGGTGGAACGACGGTGGGTGATAGCCGCACCGAGCATCGACATGTGCGGCGGTCGGGTTCGTTGATGATAGGCAACTAGTAATGGCTATCATACGATATATAAGGTTTAGATGCAACATATTTTCTTTTGGGATCTTTTGAGGCAGCAATCGGGAGACTTTAGGGTAATTAAGTGCAAGGGGATTAGGTATATTATGTGCCCGCATAATTTCATTATGCGGGTACACACTTTTTTAACTTCTCGATTATGTGGTTTGACCGCATAATCGAGTGGGATTTAGCTGCCCATCATGTTTTGGTGTCGGGTAGGATTTTTCAGGCGAGTAGTCGGCTGGGTAGAGCGTGTTTTCTAAACATTCTGTATTTGTAGATGGTCAAAATGTATTTTTACTTAGGACGATGACCAACTTGGATACTAGAAGTGAACGCCCATGAGCTAAACACTTCGAATGGCCTCAAAGTCAAGCTCACAACAAGTTGCAGCAAATATCGCTTGATGACCGAAGCGAGCCTTGCCAAGCAGCCTACATCGACTCAATTTGACCGAGTCAGACACGAGTCGACCCCCGCAACACGCTTCAAATCAAGTCAAAAGGCGTCATCAGTTGATCAAATCACGAGTCGAATTATGTGCTAAATTCAAACTCATAGGCGAAGTTCGCTAATTAATGAACTCCGCCTATGCGAACTAAGTCATCCACCTCCGAAGAAGGCGTGGGCATGTTCGAAGCGACCTTCGCCCACGTCTTCAGTGAGCTTCGCCAAGCCTGCGAAGTCCGTCTAAATAGCCGTTTTAGAGCTATTTTCGAGGGATTACCGCTCCCCACTAACCCTACTTTAATGACTACTTAATCCACAATTAAGGGGACTATTTACTCTCTCTCTGTTAGCCTATGAAAGGAGAGGAGATCATTCATTTTAAAGAGGACTGATTTGGAATATTAGAATTCTAACTCAATTCTGGCTATAGAGAAGTTCGGCAAAAGAGTCATCATATGCATCGCACTTGCGATCTTATTGGGAGACATTGCTAAGAAAAGACTGAGCTAGCTTTCAAGCAATTTAATTCTCATCGACAACAAAAGACCATTGTCTTGATCGGTGCGTCAACGGAGTACAAGATCGAAGCTCCACGGGCACACGGAAAAGAATCCCATGAAAAAATAATTTTTCCTTTGTTTCATTGTAATTCTTTCTATTGTAATATGTGTTAGTTACAATACTAAAAGAACCCAAAACAATATTATAGAATGCATTTAGGTTGATTGTTTTCTTTTTTCCTTTTTGTTTTAAAATAATGACAAGTATCAAATAGTGCTCTAGAACTTGATCTTTTGTTCTGATATTTATTAGATTTGATACTCCTAGGTTTGATTACTATGGGTGTGGAGATATTGGGGGCTGCACCCAAGCTGGTTGAACCCAATGAAGGCAATGCCAGTTTTCCTACTGAGATGGACATTAATTCACTACCAAGCCCAGGGCAGGAACTCGATGAACCAACAAAAACTGGCATGGCAGATAACTTGAAAGAAAGGAGTGGAAAAGCAAAAGAAGCTAATAATCTTGCAAGTTCCCAAATCCCCAAGGATGCTTTAGATGAGTGGCCTGCAGAAAAGAAAGTCCATAACTTTTATTTCATGAGAGTCCGCTCATATGAAGACCCAGAGCTGAAAACGAAGATTGAAAAAGCTGACAAGGACCTTGTGAAGATGAATCGAGATCGGTTTCAGATAATCGATAAATTGAAGGAAAAAAGGGTGCGTAATACCTCAAATTCTTCATGATTCTGTTAGCTATTATTTTCTTGTAAGTCAAACCAGTTTGCTTTCTTGCGTTTAAACTTTTTATGTAATGAAGTATAAAGTGGAAGATTTATTGATAGGAATTTGGCTAAGACCAAAACAGTCGTGGTTTAAGACTCCCAATATGTGGTTAACCCAATTTGACCCGAAAATGGGATAATCCTTAATGTGTCCTTTTATATATCATCGGTCTGCAACTAATCCCAAAATATATTTTCCCTTCTACTGAATCTAAAAATTGCCTAGAGGCTGTCTTCAAGTTAGTTGTCAACCATTGTTTTAAACTAAAAAGAAAATAGGAAGCTACGAAGCGTTCATATGGATTACCTTTTTGTTTTTATGCAGTCCGAAAGGTCAAATCTAAAATCACAGCTGCAGCCTTTTCTTGTTGAGAACAAAAAGTACAGGACAGCTATGGAGGAGACAATGAAGGAAATGAAACCTCTACAGAAGGATCTTGCTGAGCATCGTACTGCTAAAAATGCCGTAAGGGAGAGAGGCACGGGCTTATGCTCTTCAGAAGAAGAACTCAATGATCTTGTAAGACTAGAACTTTTAACATTTATTATCTCTGCTTGGTTGTAAAGTTGGAACTCTCCTATTTGGAAACAACAGATTCGGAGCTTGCACTATCGTATACAACATGAAAGCAACACCTTAAATGAGGAGAAACAGCTGCTTAAAGAGATTAAACAGCTTGAAGCAACAAGAGAGAGAGTTATTGCTAATATGGCTGCTAAAACAAAAATTGAGAGCGCTAAAGGTCAGGCAGCAGAGCTCACAAGATACAAATGAAGGTACGCAATGTAGCCTCCCACTTTCTTTCTTATTCAAAAAATGTGGTTGTACACTAATTGGAAAAATGTTAAATGTTGATTCCATAAATAATTTGCAGCTACTAGGTGGCAATATGGACGAAGTCAGAAAGGAGAAACAAGCTGTTATAGCACAAATCAAGCAACTAGATGAAAAACTGAAGGTCATAGATGATGATATAGCATTGTTGGAGGAGCAACTGAGATCTGTGACTGAGAAAAGGGACAAGGCATATGAAACCCTTAATAAACTGAGAAAAGCACGCGATGAAGTGGTGGGTAATAAGCATTGTGTCTACTATTTTGTAATTTTACATTCAATCTGGACACCTTCACTAAGAAAAATATCTCCTTAGGTAAACCTTGGCTGAGCTATGTTTCATCGTATCTTCTCCACTTTTCTCTCTCTTTTCAGAATGCATGTTTCTACCAGAACAGATCACTCTTGAACAGTGCAAGGGAGCTTGCTGTAAAGAAAGATATCGAAGGATTAGAAGCACTTTACAACAGTGAGGTCTGTTTTCTTGGATGAGTTTATTCTTCTAGCATTAATATAGCTTTTCTTCTCAGTGTCATGTTGATCTTTGTTTTTGTTAATGTTAGGTGGAGAAATTCATGTTGCAGTGGAGCAGCAACAAAGCTTTCAGAGATGATTATGAGCGGCGCATATTAACGTCTCTTGATAACAGGCAGCTAAGCAGGGATGGTCGGCTGAGGAATCCTGACGAAAAACTGATTGTTGTAGAGAAACCATCAGTTGTCAAGTTGGAGACTTCACCCCCTAAAATTGCCACTAAACAAGGAAAGGAGGCCATTACGGTCACTTCATCAGAGGATACTGTCTCTTCCAAGGGAACCCAAGCCCAAGAGCTGACAAAACCAGCTAAAGCAGAAGCTGGAAGAAAGAATAGGAGCACAGAGGAGATAGGAAGAGATGATGAATATGGACAATCACAGGAGAGACCGAAACCTAAAGAGATTGATACTGCAAAACTAAAGGAGATGAAAAGAGAGGAGGAGATTGCAAAAGCTAAATTGGCTATGGACCGGAAGAAAAAGTTGGCCGAAAAAGCAGCAGCAAAGGCAGCAGCTCGAGCTCAGAAGGAAGCTGAGAAGAAACTGAAGGTAAGTATTGTTTTAACCTTTTTGTTTGGCAACCGAATGTAAATGGAAATAGAAAGTGAATAACAAAATGACTTTCTATTTGGAATTTTTTTTGGTGAAAGAAAGGCAGGAAGTTAAGGTGACAGCTGACATGTTATTTGTACTACTTGGTTGCTATGGAATGAAAGTGAATAGTGCAAAGTGGAAAAGGATGAGCGAGAAAATAAAATATAAATTTCTCTCTCCTCTCACTTCACTTTCTCGAAAATTTTGCGAAAGTTGAAGGGGTTAATAAATAGCGCCCTCCACTTTCCATTTATTCCCAGTAACCTCTATACTGCCAAATAGGAGAACAGAGGAACTCTTTAAAATTTGGTCTAATTTCCATTTATCAGAGTAACTTTCCAAAATTTTGTCTAATTTCCATTAACTTAGCGGTTGCCACACACCCTCTGAGATTGCTCATTTAGCACGATATAACTCATTTAAGTCCTTACCATAATCCCAGCAAAAGGAGAAGAACGCTAAAAAGAAAGCTGGAATAACCGAAGCTGATACATCTGCTGAGCAAAGTGAAACAGAGGAGAAGGCTGAAGAACCAGAAGAAGAAAATGTGAAACTAGATAACCCAGTTTCAGTAACAAGTAAAGAACAGAAGGCGAATGTTAAATACAGAAGCAGGCCAAAAGTTCAAACTCACCTTCCAAGAGCCATCCTCAAGAGAAAGAAGTCTCATTCATACATGTATTGGGCTGTTCCTGCGGCAATTCTTGCCTTGGTGCTTGCTATAGTGGCAGGATACTACTCCTTCGGAAGAGTCTGAGAAGTTAAAGATGAATAGTTTTAGGTTGATGATATGGAGGAGTTTTGCAATTGAGGAGAATTCAGGTAGAACTTAAACTTATCAGTCATGTTTTTTTTGTGCTTAGAAAGTGGTTAGGCAGCTATTGGACTCAGTTTCTTCAATGTGTTGAATTATATACTAGATTTTCTCGCTACATTCGTGAGATACTCTTGGTGCAATAAGGGAGCGATATTGTAGCAAGTATTTTGTTGTGGTAAATTGTTGTAAACATATGATATGTTGTTGTTATCTGCGTAACAAGGGTATGTCTCTGGAGTTAAGGGTTATTTTCACAAATTTTACGAGAACAGGGCGTATGATTAAGTTATTGATCTAGTCACCCAAATGAGTTTAAGTTTGTGAAGGCTGTACTCTATCCTTTGTTCCTTTGTTTTTGAGAAGAAAATAATGTTTATATTATCATGTTGTTATTTCTGTTTGCAGTCTTCGGGGCGGTCTATGATGATTTCTTTATGTATTTTATAAAAAGAACATGGTCTAGAAACTAATTTGGTTAATAATAAAATAATGTTTTACCCCTTGGTATTATTGATGATTTCACTATGACGCATGAATATCGACCTTTTCTTTCTTTATTGCTACGTATTTCCGTTTTACTATCCTAAAATCTTTCTTTTTACTTGAGTGTGACTTCGCATGAGTTTCGTTACAAATTTATACCCTGCTTATATTTTGCATGCGTGGATTTGGACATAGAAATTTAAGCTTTTTAAGCAAGTGTCGATTTGGGCACACAAACTCAAGTTCGGATGTGTAGGAGGTGCGCATATGTAGAATGGGTGAGATGTTGTGAGGAAGTGGAGGGTTGTTTATTTTCATGCAATTCGAGGGATGCAATTGCAATTTGCATGTAATGTAAATATTTTGATTAGTCGCTGCCTTTTGTTCCTTTATAACTAACACCTGCAGCCTCAATTGTAATTGTAAAAGTGGCACATGCTGCAACCTACGACTTAGATTTAGATGTAAGTCACAGTTGCAACCTATTTGAGCCGTAAAAGAAGTTTAAGTTTCAACGAATGCCAAAACCGAAGTATTTAAAAAAAAAAAAAAAGAAGTCAGTCAATACGATTGCAACTGTGGGTGCAAGTTGCAAAAGGTTAAAACTAAATCAAGCAAACACTAGTATAACAAACGATATGGGGAATTCACTGAACAAGTCCTGTAGTCTTTTTAGCTAGGGAGCATCATAGTCGAGGGCAGAGGCAGTGGTCTTTGTGTAAAACTCTATAAACAAAAATGACCCATGAAATTATATTTTGAAGTTAAAAATCCATGAAGTCACTTCAATAGAAACAGTTTCCCGTCATGTCGTATGTGCATGAATAGTTGGGGGCAAATCATTTACTAAAGATTGTAACGGGTTGCAAATTTGCAGATATATAACTTAATACCGGGTGTATGCCAGTCCTAATTTCGATAGACTTTTCATGTATCTTATGTATCTATAATCCTGCATGTATTTAGATTAGGTGTAATGTTATATGTGTTTAAGCTCTCGTTCGAATTCCCAACTTGTTATGGATTGAGTCTGTTGTCATGGATTTATTCCACTTCGTACTGGACGCAACAAGTGAGACATTTGGATGTTTTTGGTGTCTAGGATCTCTCTGGTGATGTTCGCGGTGTTCTTCTGGTATTCGTCTATAATTTGAGGTTTATCAAATGATGTACGAGGTGAAGAATTGTGAACGTGGGGGCCACAAGCACGTGAACAGTTTCACGTGAACACACTCACGCGCGAAGGAAATCGGGCGCTGAAGCGGCCCATGTGCGGCCCAACTTGCATACACCCAGGCTCTCATATAAATCGTGATTTCTTCCTAGGTTTAAGTGCAGGGGGGAAAACGCATACGTAAAAAAAACTGCCGATAGTTTTCGACTGCAGTGGGGGAGAACACAGTTTTGGTGGCTATCCTTTTGAGAAGAAAAGCATGGAGTTCTTCTTAGATCAAGAGGAGAGAAATTGTGAAAGATTTGAGAGTTTGTTTGAGAGTTTTATTTGTGAGACTTTGTATTTGTAAACCCTATTTGTATTATCTTTCTCTCTAATAATAGGTCTCCCCCTCCTTGCCCCGTGGACGTAGGCAACTTGCCGAACCACATAAAATAGTTTGTCTTGTTGTGATTTGTAATAGCTTGTTAGGTTCCCTCGACAAGTCAGTCCTAGAACTGATAAAATGAAGAGTGTATATTCCATTTTGTTGAGATATATTACTTTCGATTCTTGTTTTCTTTGTGAAACATGGATTTAGTTATGATCTTACTCTCTTGTTGTGCACTAGAAGTGCTGCCGAAATTTCTACTGCGCACAACAAGTGGTATCAGAGATACAAGTTAGGCTTGGAGCTTGTTTGAAGGATTCCCTGAAGGATTCCTATTTGAAGATTTAGATCTACAACATGGATGAAACAAGCACATCGGGATCGTCTCTTTCGAAGGCGATACAGAGTCTGAGCATCAATAATACAAAGATTGATGTTCCGAAGTTCGACGGCAAGATCAATTTTGGTTTGTGGAGATGTCAGGTGATGGATACGTTGGATGCACAAAATTTGAAGGAGACTCTTAAGTTACAAGAGAAACCCGAAGACATGGAGGACAAGGTTTGGAAGAAGATGAACAATAGGGCTTGTGGAGTTATTAGGTCATGCTTGACGCCGGATCTTATTTATGATGTTATGAACGAGACGTCAGCGAAGAGATTATGGGAAACGCTCAATGAGAAGTATCTTACTAAGAGCATTGAGAATCGGCTTCACTTGAAGAAGAGGTTTTACCAGTTCAAGATGAAGAGGGGAGTTTCCATTAGGGAGCATGTAAACAACTTCACGAAACTACTTTCAGATATGGTCAAAATAGACATCATGGTTGAGGATGAATACAAGGCGATGCTACTTTTGTGTTCGTTACCGGAGGATGATTATGGTACGTTCGTTCTCACTATGATCAATGAAAGAACTACTGTTAGTTATAAGGAGGTGACCTCAGCGTTGGTAAATTATGAGTTGATGAAGAGTGATGGTGAACCCTCTTAGAAGGCATCGGGAGATGTATTAGCAGTCCGATGCCGTGATTTTAACCGTCGCCAGTTCAACCGCTCAAAATCGAAGAATAAAGGTGGCCATAAGAGTATTGGTAGGAATCAATGTCGCTTTTGTAAAGAAGAGAGACATTGGAAGATCGACTGCCCAAAGTTGAAGGACAAGGTCAGGAAGAATAAAGGAAAAGCTGTACAAGTTTCGGAAGTGAATGTTGTCAAGGTTAGTGGCGACAATTCAGATACAGATTCTTCAGGCAATTATTGCTCCACATTATTGTAAAACCTCGTCTGAGTTGGCTCTCTTCACCGTAGGGTTCCTTGGGTTTGGTCCCTCTCACCATGGACTTTGCCCGCGTCAACCCTGAAAGTTAGAATGGCGTGATGTGAATTGTTGAGGGAGAGGAAATATTACATGTAAGTGTTACTGATAGTTACAAAATGAAATAATGGGTAATTTTATATGATTTTATACGGAATACATTAGTCGACTATGGTTATAAATTAGCCGACTATAGTTTTAAGGTGATGTTTGTGACATTTAGAGTGTCAAAGCAAGGGGTTCTCTGACGGATACACTAACACGATACATTGATTTGAGAAAGTTCCAATCCAATGTAAAAACACATTTCCTTAAAATATATTTTAAAAAAATAGTTTGAAGTTAGGATTTGGGCAGGGGCGGCGCGTGCGCGTACCCCCATAGCAATAAATTATGACGTCCACTCTCCCACTTGGGGAGATGGTAGGCCAGCGCGCCCACTATGTGCAATGTGGGCCAGTGACCTAGGCCTCCATGATTACCCATCGACCCCGTTGTTTGAGTCAAAATTTGATGTTTTCATTGTCATCGAATCTATTACAACTTTGGTCATTACAATAAACTCAAATAAAAAATTGATCTTTTTATAAGATCTCCTTTATACAATGAAAATAAAGATTACAACTCTTGTCAAACAGCGCAACGGACGTTTATCACCAGCTGCTTGCGTGGGTTCTTTGCCTGTGCCGGGGACGTTAATATCCGTGGACCGCCGCGGATCAGATCCGGTTAGCAGAAGTTGGATAATCAATGCTCTCACTTCACGAAGGAAGTAATTGCAGTAGCGGCGATTTTGACTAAACAAAATCACGGCTCTTCTCGGGATTTAAGACTAAGCTTAAATCCGGAGGAATAGGGGACGGGTCTCAGATCTCTCGAACTCCACTCTTTATGCACAGGAGATCGCCAAGATCTGCTAACCCTCTCTGAAATTCGTGGCTATGCACTTGAGAAACCGGCAGCACCTCGCCTTCTTGATC